CCTTTGGTTTACCCTTCACATCCCTTCCCAGCCTCCCCCCTCCTCCCCAATCCCAATCCTTCTCCTCCCCCCCCCGCACCGACGTTGTAAAGCTCGTTTTGGACATGACAACTTGTACTTCTCATTGTTGCAACAGGTCCACCTGTATCCTTAAATGACTGGTTTTTCCCCATCTCCTCCACAAGTTATACTGACATCAAATATAGTGAAAGCAGGGCTTATACCCTGGGGGAGGTACATACAAAACAACAAAGAAATCATCTTATAAATATGTTGGAAACAATTGCAAGAAAGAAGAAAAAATTTGAATCCTTATCTTGGGGTTCATTTCGCCTAATATCAACTTGTCTGACAGATTCTGTTTGTCTTAGACATATACTAGTTATTGAAAATAAGGGAAACCATGGGACCTCTAAATTTCTTCCTTTGCCTAATTTCTAAATTAAAATTTGTCATACATATATACATATATACACTTAACTATCTATGGGGAAAAGCCTTAGTATCTATAGTATCAGCATAACTAGTGGCTCCAGGCATTCCCTGAAATACTGCTCAACTTTAAGTATATATAGAACCTTCTAGTGTGTCCATAGGCAAAACGCTTTATGACACAGAGTATGTGTGGTCCAGAATCTCTCTACAACAGAGTGATAGCGTGACTTCAGTAAATGCAGTACTGTCTTTCTTTATCCCTGTCTAAAGTGACAAGACTGAAGGAGCTTTTAAACAACAGCAAAGCATAGTCACATATTCCTATTACTAAAGTCAGACTATTATTATCAAGCAAAAATGGAGAGAATTAACTTCTTCTCTTCCGTTTGAGTCACCTTCTCATTTCACTTAGATTCCTGTGACTGCAGTTAAGTATTTTCCCCCCATCTGTTATTTCCGCTTTCATTTCCTTTCGCATTTTTCTACTTTGAGTCTCAGCATTTTTGTTTTGTTGCCTCGGGGTTTGAGTTAGAAGAAGCTGCCAGGGAGTGAACTTTGCTTCTGTTCCATGTTTAACAGCCATCTGACTGATGTTAGATCCCTCTTATTGTCTACTCGTCCCTCTCTTTCATCTCTTTCTCTCTCGTTCCCCCTGGTCTCTGGCCCATTGCTAGGTTTCTCGGGCTGAAAAGGATCTACACATTTTCAACACACATCTCTCCCTACCTGTGTCCATCACCAGCCACCAACTCCCCTGGCTGTGATCTTGGCTTTGGGGGGTGGGAAATCTGTACCCAGGGACTGTCATCACCCTTCCTCTCACTTGGAAAATCATAAAAGAGATGTTTGAGGTCCTGAAAATGTGATCTGTAACAATCTCTCTGCCACTAGCAAAGTACTGGCTTCCCTCCCGTGCAAAAGGCTAGAGCAGCTGGCCGCGCATGAACCAACCCTGCAAAGATAACTCCGGCTTGAGCTGGCAGGGGTCAAGGGCTTGCCACTTCACCCAACAAGGCCCCAAATGCCTGAATGGAAAATACAATCACTGTTGCTATGATAGAGCATTTCAGTAGGCCTAAAATAGATGTAATAATTACTCTAATAAACATTCACTGGCCTAAGCTTTTCCATATAACCAGTTATTATAATTACAGGAAGGGTGATGGTTCAAATACATTTGGTCATGCAGGTAGCTAGAAGGCAAATACCAAATGTAAATCTGAGAACATTAACACAGTAAAAAAAAAAGAAAAAAAAAGATAATTGAGGTCGTTCCTACTAATAAATTCTCCATAGCAAAGAGGAAGAAAAGGATGTTGCAAGCCTGGCCCTTCAGGCTACCTCCCTCATCTTATTATCTGTGCTGTGTTGACGTCTGGTTGTGGGGGAATGCACTGAATGTAGAACCTACAGATTTCAGAGTCCTACCTTGCAGCATGCACTGCTACATACTCAGAAGCCATGGGACTGTGCTCTGAACTCATGAAAGTAGCCTCTGTACTATAATCTAGACACTGATGGCTCCACTTCAAATCGGTTTGAGGGACTTTAATCAGTTCTGCTAACACATCCATTTGATCTCGGATGTGGCTTACATTTCTCACTCTGGGTTTCAATACCCAACACAAACTGACTTCATTTCAGGTTCCTTTCCACAGGAACCCTTATTTTTACAGCTGATTTCTTCACCAGGCTGAAGATACCGAGATGGGTATGTTCTCTTGCTAGTGGTTTCTCTTCTTTCCCTGATTCTTACTTGTTCTTCCAGTCCACATAGGTCTCTTGTGTGAGTCTCATGGCGCAATGTATTGAGTAAAACGTTGCTTTTGCTATTGGATTCTGTAACTTTTAGTCCTAACCGGCCAGTCTTGATAGAAACACACTCTTCTTTTACTTTCTCCAGATGATGCTACAACTAGTTGCTCATTACTTGACAAAAACTTTTCTGATTAGACCAAAGTGACCATTTAGGACTATGTTAAATAGAAGCATAGATAAAATTGAAAGCTGATTTCACATTATTCTGAATGATTTGGGACAGTGGCCAGTAACTGACTTCTGAAGTCTACCAGATAAATCATGTTATCACTTTAGGTTAATCTTCATTTATGAATCATTCCCTAACTTGAATCTAAAGGGAGAACTTCATGAGCATGATTGTGATAATAAAACAAAATAATGCATGCATATTATAAGGATAAATTCACCAAAAGAGCTACCACATAAAGTAAAATAAACTGTAATGTAGTCAGGCCATATTATTGTGAACGTGACATCACAGATAATTACATGTCTACAGACATGAAAAACCATACAGAAGCTGAAATGTCTCACTATACGCCCAGTAACACAAAATCAGTTCAGCAGTTTGGTTTTATTTGCTTTTAAATGGGCTTTAAAAAAACCACTTTATCTCTCAAATGATGAGAGTTATGCTTCCAAATATAAGATATAGAAAGTCTGAAGAAGTAAGATAACCTTTGGAGTTCAGAGGGCAGGGGAAAACAGACTGACTTCAAAACACAGGGCAGGTACAATAATGCATTTAGGCCTTTTATATTGTTTTTGTTGTTCCTGTTTGTTTGCAATCTCATGGGTAGCTATGTGGATACCTATGTTTAACATAAAGCAGAATATCATATGAAATTTCTTAGCAGAATGTAAGCATCTTACTTTGGAAAAATAAATTATATCCTGTTGGAACAACTGTTGAAATCATATGAAGAAGTAATATATATATATAGAGAGAGAGGTTGAACTATAAGAAGAAAATAGTGAAATTCCAATATAAGGAATACTATGAATAAAAGTACAGGGAAGAAAGCGGACTGGTGTTTGACGCAGTAGAACGAGCCCCAAACAACGAATAAACTAAGGACCACACACTGAAATACCAAGCAGCGGCCAGGTAATGAAACATCTCAAGTACAATCCTAAGCAGCTAGACAAAAAGGAATTACAAAGTGGTCTAGGAGAATTGAAGATTAAAAAAAATCTAAACCTGCTTGGTTGAGGAAGATTCCACCAACAGGAAAAAAATTGAATTTCAATTAGCCAAAGGGAGGAGGTGAGGAGAACAGAGAGAGATATTTGTGGGGTTAGTGATAAGGAGCAAAGAGAGATCCATACAAGGAGATAAGTATTGCAAGTGTCATTAACAGATAAAGGAAGTGTTTGTGTGTGTGTGTGTGTGTGTGTGTGTGTGAGAGAGAGAGAGAGAGAGAGAGAGAGAGAGAGAGAGAGAGAGAAGAGAGAAGAGAGAGAAGAGAGAGAGAGGGAGACAGAAAAAGGCAGACAGACATAGAGACAAAGAAGGGAGCATTTGATGAGGGAGCTTAAAGAGAACATAGAGCTTCAAGTGTTTCTATGGCTGAGAAATCCCTTGGTAAGACAAATACTACATGGTAAGAAACAGGGAGCAATAATGGGAGTCTGTATAGTTTGCTTCCAGTAGCCAATGGCATACTTTTCATTTAGTTATTATTTATTATTGTTTTATAAGAAATAGGAATTTCATTCTCCTGGAAACAAGAGTATCCCATAACTAATTTACCTTCAGATGAGATTAGCTCCTAGATTGCTTAGCGAAACCTATGAGAAAAGAGGCATGTAGTTGAAGAACCTGGGGAGGGGAGGAAGCAGAAATAAAGATGTTTGTTCTGTGTGCATTACCATGGCACAGGAAGGTTTAAAAAGATCATCAGGAGATCATTTTTTAAAGTATGAGTTTCCAATGTTGTAGTCTTGAATTTGCATTTCATTAATTAATGAGCTTTGATAGTCATTCTTTGTACTAGAGAAAAATATTTCACAAAACTAAATTAAGAATTACTCATTTTTATGATGGGCTAAAGCCATGTTCTGTCTCTGTTAAATGCTAGAACAGCTTCTCTCTTTATCCCTTTATTACTTATTTAAATTTTCCTGGTTATTTAAATATATAAGTATCCATAAGTAAGTAGAGGATGTTATATATTTCAACTTTTGTTAGGCTTGTGAAAATATGAAATAGCTCACTTAATTTTGAATAATTTTAAATTGATACATACAATTTTCAAGGAAGGTCGACTTATTCACTGGGTTTGAAGCTTGAATCTTTATTCAGAAAACTCCTCTCTTTGTTGGTATTTAAGGATAACTTATTAATAGCTTAGCCCTGAGGAAAAATGTACTAAGGCATGACTTCCCTAAAGTTTAAGTTGGTTGCTATGCTAAATGCAAATTACCTAGTTATTAAAAATTCCACTGTGATAGCTATCAGGGTTATAGTTTCTGCAAATGAGTATACTGCGATAGTTGTGATTTACTATAAAATAGGGTGGAGAAAGCTTCATTGCTTGCCTGTTTGCTACAATAGAATTACTTATAGCACCACAGTATCCTCTGTATGATGGATGTGTGTGTTTATGTGTAAAATGCCAGAAACAGCCACATATTTTGAGAGAGCTAGGGGTATGCAGTATGGAGGCTTGTTGTGGCAATTCTCCAAGTTTAAGTTCATAATATTTTCCGAAATTTTATGCACACATCTTTGAGTGCAACTTTTATCTCCTTTTGACCAACAGATCTTCATCAACAATGAATGGCATGACTCAGTGAGTGGCAAGAAATTCCCTGTCCTCAATCCTGCCACGGAGGAGGAGATCTGCCAGGTCGCAGAAGGAGATAAGGTGAGTATCAGAACACTGTTTCTATTCTTTGTTTCTCGCCATTCTAAACCACTCTCACCATTCTTGCTATTCTAAGCTCCTATACCCCACTAGAAGCTGATGAAAACACAGATAAACAGGATCGCTGGGAAGATTGTATTTGTCATCTTTGGTATACCACACTCAGCAGTCATGTAATAATCATGACCTATACTCTGGGGATTTGGTTATCTTCTGAGATAATCATGATCTATATTCTGGGGATTTGGTTATCTTCTGAGATAATCATGATCTACACTCTGGGGATTTGATTATCTTCTGAGATAATCATGATCTACACTCTGGGGATTTGGTTATCGTTCTGAGATAATCATGATCTACACTCTGGGGATTTGGTTATCGTGCTGAGATTATTTTTCCTGATTATTTTTCCTTTGAAATATTATCTGTGCTTATCAACAGACAACCTAGGACCAAACCGATCATATCTTTAAAAAGTTGAGAAATAATTTATATAAAATTATCCTTTCTAAGTTGCTAGATAAAAATAAAATTAATATAGAACTATTAGAAACAATGTCATGCCAAGTTATTTATTTTAGAGTCATTAAATTAACATTAATCGATGCCTTTAAAATGACTGAAATTGAATATCTGATTATGTAGTTATTAATAATCACAACAAAAACAAAATCCAAATTTCTTTTATTCTCAGTGATGTTTTGATTTAGTACTTAAGGGAATCATATAAAGAAGATCCTATTTTTAGCTGCAGTTTAAAGTGATATTAAAATGTTAGAATAGAAAAATTGGATAAGTTACTCAAATTGACATTGCAAAGAAATCATGAAATTAGCATTCAAACAGACAGAGCCTGTGATGAGCAGGGTTTCTGATTTTCCTTGTGATTATTGTAAAAGTAAGACAGGATGACAATAAATAACCTGAGTTATTATTAAGAACGCAGGGCTTCTGAACTTGGAGTGGAACTGTCTGCCAAAATGTGTCTAATTTCACATGATTTTTCTGTTCTTTAGCTGCTGAGAGGTTACTAGCAATACATCTCTGTAATGCATATGCTAAATGCAATGCTAAAAAGATTTTTTTACTGTATGGAAAAGATTACTGGGAGATGAACTCAGCAAAATAAAACAAACAAACAAACAAACGGTACTATTTGTGTACAGTAGACTTCAGTCCACTTCCCTGCCCAGTTCTATTCCTTCATTACCTCAGTCTGTATCTCTGAGATCACAAAGCTCAAAGCACAGACTGAGCCAGACAGGCCTATTCCCAGACAGCCATAAACTTGGGGAGTTTTTCAGGTGTTTAGAAGGCCACAGGTTCATTAAGATTGCAGTATTATCAGCACATGGAACCTGGGTCATTAAAAAGCAAAAGTACATTTTAAACACGGGAGTCAACAAAATAAAAAGTTACAAACAGAACCTAACTGTCACGTGTCACTCACTCACTTTCAGATTTTACTTTCTGGGTCTACTGGAGAATTCAGCCATGCATCAATTCTCCACGCGGGTTCTCAGTGACTCAGGGGAATAGTCCTCACACAAAGGTCCTTTGTACTATTACTCAACTCTTTCTTTAATGGCTTCAGTCCCAGGCCACCTCATCCACCAAACAATTCCAACTTCATCCCGCCCAGCGTCCCACCCCAAATATTGCTAGCTTGTCCTTGCCCCTGTGAGGATCCAACGTGGGCGTCAGGAACGGGTCCAAGTCACCATCTGCAGTTAGAGTTCAGAGGTCCCACACTTGTTTTGTACTCGTTCTCTTTGAATTCCTCTTTATATAATATAAGGAAATAGAAGAGAAAAAAAACAACCACTTACTTGGACCACTGAACACAATACATGAAGATCTTCAGAAATACTGGATACAGGGAGCCTCAAGCCCCAGTCATTAGCTGTTTTCAAACTACTTCCAAGTCTTCTCAGATCTGCCCTCACAGAGCTGTTCTTTCCTGCATCCTCCTGAAACATTGTCTCTGTCTCTCATCTACAGTGGTCTTATTTTTAGCCTTTGGGGAAGCCTCATACTGTTCTCTGTAATGACTAATTTACATTGCCACCAAAAGTGTATTAGGGTTTCAGTTTTCATGCACATACCTACCAGTGTTAAGTCTCATCATAACCACTTGGCTTATGGCCAGGTAATATCAGTAAAATATAATTTTTATTTGTACTTCTCTGATTGCTAGTGATATTGGACAAAATCTTCTAATGCCAATTGATATTGATAGATCCACTCATACCATTGCCTCCTCCCCTTATTTTTATTTCCACTCTAGGAACTGAACTCAGGGACTTCCATATACCAATGGAACAAAGTCAGTTTGTGTGTTTGCTTGTTTTCAGATAGGCTCTGAAGCTTTGATAAAGCCCCGCCATAGACCATAATATTTCTATCTCCACTTCCCAAGTAGTAGGGACCACGGGGATATACCTCCCTCTCACACCCTCAATAACTTGTTTTTGTTTGGACTATTTGTTGATGTTTAATTTGCTATGTATTCTGGATATTAATTTATGGTCATATAAATAGTATGCAATTCTTTTTTTTTTTTTTTTTGGTCTGGTCATGGGGCCTGAACTCTGGGTCTGGCCACTGTCCCTCAGCTCTTCAGCTCAAGGCTAGCGCTCTACCACCTGAGCCACAGCGCCACTTCTGGTTTTTTTTTCTTTTTTGCTTCTGTGGTGCTGAGGAATCGAACCCAGGGCCTCATGCATGCAAGGCAAGCACTCTACTACTGAGCCACCTTCCCAGCCTGCAATTCTTTTCTTCTACAGGCTTTCTCTTATTTGCTCTGCAATCTCTGAGTTTTGCATAAAAACATTTATTTATTTTGTTGTTTTCTTTTTGTTTTGTAATGCAGGAGTCTTGTAGAAGTAGATCATTGCCCATACCCCTATCATAATAACATTCCCTGTAGTTTCTAGGAATAGTCTCATACCTTTAGGCCTTTCATTCAGGTTTCTACTTGAGTTGAGTTTTGTATGTAATGAATCATAAAATTTGTGATTATCAATTCTCCCAGCACCATTGATTGAAGAATCCATCCTTTCTTCTGTATATGTTTCTAATATCTTTGTTGAATATTAATAGGTTGTACATGCACGAAATTAAAAAATAAACAAAATAAAGGACTAGATGTGGCCAGAATGAGCTCCTGAGGGCTGCCTATTCTTTTTCTGTGCAGATATAAGTGCCATTCACACACACACAAAATAACTGCCGATTTATTTATTATTGACAAGTAAAAGAAAACAATATTCTTCATGCTTTAGCTACAAAGCCTTGAACCATTAGATTTGCCCTAGCTTCCTAGATGAACAGCTGGCTTTTCTGCTGAACAAATATTTATGCCAAGGTTCCAGCTGAAACAGTGTTAGGCAAGTGTGAAGACTTAGAAGTCTTAGAAATGACTGCCAGTGATTGGTTCTGTGATTATTCTCATTATTCTTGTACAAGGAAGAGATTGGGGACTCTTCATAACACCTAGCAATGCTGCAAGTCATGTCCTAATGCTCGTTAATTGGATGAATAGCTGATCAGAAGTTGTTGCTCCAACAGGGAAAAAAAAGTCTAGTAAACTAACATTGCTTACTGAATGGTACAAATCTAGTACATTACACAGTCACAGTAAACCTAATATGCTGAAACTGACTCTTGAGGTAATGAGCCAAAAGGTTGTCGTGATTTAATTGATGAGTGGAATGGAGCTAACAATGGCCTGTAGTCTTTATGTTTCAATAGTATCATAAAGAAGGGGGAGGGGCAAGAACAAATGGAGATTGGAAAGCAAAGTACAAATGTGGGTGGGAACTGTTTTCTTTTCACTTCGATGGCTCTTTTGGCTAATCCTGAAAATGCTTTTATAATACTACAGCATGACCTAACAAATAATTGGTTAGATAAAAGTAAATGTCTATTAAAGTAAGTGCTTATGACAGGTATAAAAGTAAAACTGGTCTGATAACTATGTTCTCCATTCATTCCATGAATGAGTTTAATCTGGGAATGTACCATCTGGGAATGATTGAAGAGTTCAGTCCATCCTTAACGAGGCCTAAGTAGCACTGTATATCATAAACATTTAAACTGCTTTCACGTTTTCAGATTGTGATTGTGGACCTTTTAAAATAGAAACATTTTAAATGTCATAGACACAGTGCTAGAATGGTAGCCAATGTATCAAAGTAGTTTCTGGTTAATTCAAAACCTATTTCCTTGGCAATGCTAACCAAAACCAAAACCCTTTATGTGCCTAGTAGTTTTGAATAATACAAAAATTTTGTTATATAATGGAAGTAGTTGAAGTTGATCAAAGGTTAATATTAATAAATTAGATGCATACTTGCATTACATAGGTTTATAAGACAGATAACTAAACTAGTATAATTATTAAATTTAATAAATTAGTTAGCTGACCACTATAGGCTAGAATAAGTATACATTATAACACAGAAAGTAAGGAATATTTATTGCAATATATTTGGGATAGCCTTGCAAACCTATAAGATCTATACTCAAAAGTAGATGTGGGATTGAATGTTGGTTCTACTATCTATTATATTTCATATATGTAAGATCTACTTGCCTAGCAAACAAGGTCCATGATATTTAAGTATAGTAGCAACTTGCAGCCATAAGGAACTGATTTTAGTAAGTGTGGCTTATTAGGTTCATCCAGATGGATTCATCCAGCAAGGTTTCTTATAAGTGGTGATACTTGAACTGCATCTGTGTAGGAAGCTGACTCCGTTCAAATGACACACTTGGCAACAGAATTACAGGTGCAAAAGCTGGGTAAACTAGAACAGAAAGAACATATAGCTTGGGCAGGATGAAGTGGAACACAAAAATGTTGGACCAGGCACAAGGAGTTTGGCCTCGAGATTGTGGATATAGGGGAGTGATTGAAAACATTGAAAGGAAAAGTGAAATAGGATTTAAAAAATAAAAAAAACAGCTAAGTGAAGAACATTAGCCTAGTAGCAATAGGCAAGACAGTTGGAGGCATTTTGTGTCACCATATCAATAGCCTTCATTCTCACTGTCACTGTCCTGAAAAATAATCTAAATAATAAAGGCCTACACTAGTAGAAAGCAAGAGCACTGGAGGTGTTAAAATAATTACCTGATTGATTTTCATGTTGGTTCATTTTCTTGGCCATCATCTGCCTCCATCTAATGAGCTTGACCTGTTGCCACATCAAACTTTTGTGTCAAGTATTAGCTTATGAAGTCTTCAACATAACCCTGTGAAGCAACATACCTCAATTTTAAAGTTAAGCAAATTCAGTGGGACCGAGGTGGCTCACATCTGTAATTGTAGCTACTCAGGAGCCAGCTTGGGCAGGAAAGTCTGTGAGACTCTTATCTCCAATTAACCATCGGAAAAATGGAAGAGGCACTGTAGGTCACATGGTAAAGTGCTCACCTCGAGTTGAAGAGCTCAGGGACAGCGCCCAGGAAATTGTACCTTCAAGTAATCATGAATCGTCATACAACATATTTCACCTTAGAAGACAATAAGCCCTCTGTACCTACAAGTTCTGCATCTGAGGTCCAAACAAGGGATTAAAACTGTTATCCTATTACTTCTGGAGACTAAGTGATTAGGCCAGTATTTCCTAAGCAATACACTACAGCATCTACCTAGCTTTTGCATAGTATTAGGTAATCTAAGTTATCTAGATATGATTTAAACATGTGGAAGGATATGTGTACGTTATATGTAAATATTGTGTTAATTCATATAAAAGACTTGAACATTCATCAGGTTAGGTTATCTACAAGGGGATCCTGAAATAAATGCCTCTTCAATGATGAGGAATGGCTGTATTTTTGCCATTTGATTGAACGTTGTGGGACACTCTTTTCAGGTTAGCATTTCAACGTTAGCAAACTCATAATAATGATAGAGGATGAATTGGTATAAAATCTTTGAATGGATGAATGAGCAAGAGTAACCAGAATTCAAATCTGCATTGTAGATTGTTCCCAAACAGTCTATCATGACCCCAGTTCGACTCCTCTAAGATTAAATGCAACCTGTGAGAAAAGGAAAGATTCAAACATAGATACAAGAAAACCTTTATTTGTAACAGCATTCACCAGGGATGTGCTTTTCATATGGCAGAATTATTTGACTTGGAGCCAGTTTCTCCACATCCCTTTGGGAGACCAGCATGCCCGTATTTGGCTAAGGCCAATGGCAGAAGAATTCAAATGAAATCTGTGTCACACAGACCTGTTTAAACAAAGAGCTGTATGTGTTTTATAAGCCATGGCATCCACAAATCATGCTGGCAATCTAATTCTTGGTCATTGCTTTTTTGTCTCCCTGCAAATAGTACTGTCTTGAATTTAATTTGGAAAAGGTTAAAAAAATGTAGCCCCAAATAATATTTAAGTACAAAACAAACATATGGATAATTAATAGAATAACCTCCAAATGCACTGTATATCTATTTTACATGAAAGCATTTTATTTTATTCCAAGTACTCATTGTTCCTCCAAAAGTTTGACAGTGATATAAACCAATGTATGATGTAGTATAGTGAAAGAATCTTTGCATATAGTCAGTAAATACTGGCAGTAAATCAGAACAGCTTAGACTACTGAAAATACTTCTTGCACCAGTTCATAACAATTTGGTGAAAAAGAGCAACGGTCCCTGATTTACTGCATTTCTTTCAACTCACAATATTTTAGCTTTAATCAAATGTGAAAGCAAGACACATTCAGTACAATATCAACTTTGTGTTTCACATTTTGATCTTTTCCTAGGTTAGCCCTATGTTGTATTGTACTTTTGTGTTGCCGGGGAAATGCTCCCATTTGACCACACAATCACAATTGCAGACAACCAATATGGTAACACACAGTGTACTATAGTCAATACATTAAAATGAGACTCTCAAAACTGTATCATAGATGGCGATGCTCTGTGCACAGAGCAGCTGAGGTCTGGTGTTTGGAGACTCAGGTGTGTTACATGCACTTTCAGTGTATTTGCCATCTGTTATTGGCTTCTCTGGATTTAACTCTGTTAGGAATCAAGGAGAGTCTGTGTTATTAAAAAAAAAGTTTATGTATTTGCATTATAGTTTTTGGACTTGTAAGGTTGAGACTTCCCAATGGAATATAACCTAAGGACAAGGATATAAATTTGAAGTTCTTGCCCTTCTCAAAGAGAGGCTTCATTTTCAACAACTTCAAGCCACTAGGATTCTTTCCTTCCTCCCACCATAATTAGCAAAGGAAAATTATGCCCCATGCCCAAAGTTACCACTTACTGGTCTGTGATATCATCACGATTGATAGAGTTCCTATAACAGTCCTACGTACAAAAATATAAGATTAGAATTATGCATGCTTTTAAGATGTTTGCACCTGACTCAATGGAAGGAATCCCACATGAAGTAGTTATAAAAGAAGTGTTAGACTTGTAATAGGTACATTCTTAGGAGGTGAGTCTAAACAAAACTCCATAACACAGGGGAAATGTCAAGGCAAGTCTGAAGAACTAAAGGTGCATACCTGGTTTAGAAAAACACAATAGAGAAGAAAGCATAAGTTGAGTTCCAACTCATTAATATAAGTGTGGACTTACTATTATTGGGCCTTTTCTTGAATCAGTGTAGTTTTAAGCTGAATATCATTAGTAAAAACAAAAACAAAAAAAACCCTCTTTACCTAATTAGAAATTGAAAAAGGATTTTGCAACTATTTGGGAAATGAGGGCTTAGCACAGGCAGACCCTTGTAGGGATCAGTCCATTCTATCTAGTTCTTCTTGATCCTGTTTTCCTCTGCATAAAATGAATTAGTACATGGTTGTAATCCTCTCCAATAGTAAAGTTCTAATTCACTCTTCTGTAAGCTCTTCCTGAACGTGTCTGACTGATAGAGTCTCCAGAGCCCACAGCAGGTATTTGCTATTTGGGATCTTAAGCCTTGTATATAACTCTTCTAACCAAAAGAAAAGGGTATTGAGGAAAAACAGTGGTCTATAGATGACCTACATTTAAAACTCAGTTCAACAGCTTTTAGGTTATTCACCTCGAACCAATATTGTCCCTCCCCCCTCTCTTCACACACCCCTAACAAAATGGGGGGAGCATATTTGTCTAATAAGATTTCTGAGAATTAAATGACTGAAGATGTGTAGTTAAGTATAGCAAAGGGTCTTACTGACGTATGATAGAATAACATAGTCTAGAAAATCAAATATTGATAAAGGTGTCGAGTTTATCTTTCTTAAAAATTATTTATTCATCAGGAATCATTCCATCATGCCGTTACATTACACAAATCCAATATGTTGGGCCTATTGAATTGAACTTCCTGTGACTTACAGGCAGATGTGGACAAAGCAGTGAAGGCCGCAAGACAGGCTTTCCAGATCGGTTCTCCATGGCGTACGATGGATGCTTCCGAGAGAGGACGCCTGCTCTACAAGCTGGCTGACTTGATTGAAAGAGACCGTTTGCTGCTAGCAGTGAGTATGATCCACACTGGATGATATCCAAACTGGGACCTTTCAAAAACACTCAGCGTTCGAATTGTCAAGTCCATTTGTTCAGAGGCTATGCAGACCTCCTCAGGTGATATACTGGGTTTCCTCAATGAACTTGACCCTCAAAAGTATATCGTGGAAAATTCCACCAACTTTGTTAACAGTGGCCAAAGCATTGCTCCAGAATGAATTTTGCATTTGGTAGTCTAACTCAGCAAAATATTAAATGAATAGTTATCTTTTCTTTCCCTAAAATGTGTCTGCACACATGCACACAATGTTCACCAAAAAGGGTTTTTTTTTTCATTTTCAAGGGTAAAATTGGTAAAGAATAAAGACAGGAAATCCTATTATTTAGAGAAATTATGTTTTAATGTCTAGCAGTTGTGTTTATTAATGTTATCAATTGTATAAAAAGCACAAAACATGGGTGGGGGAAAGCATTTCTTCCTTGTCTTCTTGAGCCAGGCATTATAATAAAGCCAGTTTAACATAAACTAATACCAGGTTCAATTTCTGGAAAAATAAATGATTACTTTTAGAATTTTAAAGTGGCAGTAATGGGAAGTCCCTTATTTTATTTGAAGAAATTAGCAATTGCAGTTAAAGGATAATTTATTACTGGGATATACAGAGTAATTCAAATTACAGCAAAAAATAAAGCAAGAAGCCTTTTACAATGAAACTGTACTTGGCTAACATGTCTTAGAAGGAAGAAAGACTGGTAAATTTTAGCTTCTCTTATGTATCTGATTTATGGAGTGTATAGTATTAACTAACTGTTAACATAAGTCTTCTTACGGTTAAAAAAACCACAGACATACAAAATCATGTTTATTTAAATTTTAGGATAGTTTACAGTTTAGTAGAGAGGAGGAATAGCTTTAGTAGTTAATCACTTGCACATTCCTGCCAATGATTACCCCAAGAACATGACATCCCAAAGAACTTAAGAAAAACAGAACAAAACAAGAAGAAATTCATTATAAAAGGACTGCTAGACCAGAAAATATTAAACTTTACAGCTTGAAAGAATAATTTGGGAAATAGTACATAGTTTAAAAAATCTTTAGAAAAAAATGTATAGATTTTTAAAAAAGGTTAAATTTGTATGAGTAAATTACTTGTATCCAGGTACAATATAAAAGTTACACAGTGTTATCAAACCATCAGATAGAATGACTAATAATAACTCATCACAAAACACCTGGAGCAGTTGGGAGCTAGGTATACTCAAGATTCTGATAGGAAATACCAGGTTTTAGCCCCCACGCTACTTACTACCACACCACTAGTATGTTGCTTTATGTCCAAAACCAGCTTAATGTGCAACTCTTTTTAGGTCTTCCTTTTAAAAAGAAGAGTAAGACAAGGTGATTGAAGAGTCCTTCTATTTCCAAATCCTTTTTTCTTTCCATTTTTTGTATGTATTTTTTTTCTTGTAAAGATACTGTACAGAGGGGTTACAGTTACATGAGTAATGAGTCCATTTCCCAACTCACCCTCCCTCCTGCCCTGGCCAACTTGTAAGGTTCGTTTTCAACATAGTGTCTTGTACATCTCATTGTTACAATGGGTCATCCTGTAACCTTATTTCAGTGTTTTGTTATTTCCCTTCCCCTCCCCAAATTAGAAAAATGTATGTACAAGATGTAGGACACTGGAGTCAAATACAGTGACAACAGGGGTTATACCATGAGGGAAGAACATGCAAAAGAAACAAAAAAAATCACATGGTTATATTATAAATACATTAAAAACAACAGCAAGAAAGATAAAACCACTTGTGTCTCTATCTTGGGGTTCATTTCACTTAACACCATCTTATATGGTCATATGTACATAGCTTTTGACCTTCTCTGCTTGTCCTAGACATGTACTAGTGATTGTAAATAAGGACCTATGTTTCCTTGGGTCTGGCTTAGTTCCCTTAATATAATTTTTTCCAAATCTTTCCATTTCCTAGCAAATGGCGAGATGTCCTTCTTTCTGATTGAGGCATAGAATTCATATATATATGAATATATATATATATATATTTATATATATATATCACATTTTCTTGATCCATTCATCTACTGAGGGGCATCTGGGTTGGTTCCATCTCTTAGCTATGGTGAATAATGCTGCTAGTTCATAATACTGACTATATATTTTTCTTCTAAAAATTTTTTTCAGTGAAATTTTAGTTGTGGAATGGTTTGTTTTTCAGACAATGGAGTCCATCAATGGAGGAAAAATATTTTCTAATGCCTACCTGATGGACTTAGGAGGCTGCATCAAGACACTACGCTACTGTGCAGGCTGGGCCGACAAAATCCACGGCTCCACCATACCGAGCGGTAAGGAGATGGGTGGGTCACCACCAGGGCTGCGTGCGCTGGAGACAGTTACAGATCTGAGCAATTGAACCTTCTCTAAAGATGTCAACCAAATACATTGAAATTATTTTCCCCTTTCTAAGCCAACACATTTCTGAATTCATAAGTTAAATTAAGATTAAACCAATTACTTTTAAAGTTGGGCGTAATCACACAGAAGACAAGACTATCGGTAGTTTAGAACACTATCAATTAAGAGCATTCATTACTGTCCACTTTTTAGGTGGTCAATTAGTGATTAAAAAAATAATAAGTCTCACTACTTCCCTGCCTGAGCTAGAATTACAGACAGGAGCCACTGGTACCCAGCAAGAATATTCTTTATAGCTCAAATTACTGATCTGAGTAAATTGTCCCTCAAAGGACCAAAACTTTTCAACACTGGCCTCTGCAATTAATGATGTAAATTCTATTTCCATAGTGACTTTTCCATCCTTGCTCTAATATAACTATTTATTCTTCTTTCATGTTCCATTATAAGTCTGTTATGTTCAACTGTGCCAGTTAAGACCCAGTAGAGGTAGACCAGACCAATTATACAAACTCCTGATTTGTTTCAAGTAGTTTAAAGTAAAGTGAGACTGTGCTTATAGCCTGAGTTAATAATCTCTGTATGTGAATGTGTACATATGCAGTATTTAGTGGGATGTGCATATTACAGATTAGACATAAAACATTTCACTTGAGGAAGCATTTGGGAAACATTAAGGGTAGTATTTAAGTTCTGTAAATGTAGGCCTGTATCTCCAGGACTGGACCTGGTGTGCATTTTTAATCTAATTGCACATCCAGCTTAGAAGTTAAAAGAATAAGACAATAGTAGTACTGAAAAGTGGGCTTAATTTTATTAGTTGTTTCATTTTACCTTCCAAAATCATGGGAAAACCACTGAAAGCTATGGGTCTTGAGAGGAGAGTTTTTGTTATGATAGCCAAGAAGCTTCCATGGGAACTAGAATGGAACTGAGCGCAGAGAACAAAACTCTCAGGAAGACCATGAACCTTGCCCGTGAATTGGGAAAATTTGAAGGGACAGAAATATCTTGTACTTTGAGCATTTTTTAGAGTTTGCTTTTTTGTTTCGTAGGCAAAAAATCCCACAACAAACCAGTAACATTTTAGAACAAGTCCATAGACAGTCTTGTTACTGATAGGGAGATACTTTACTATTTTAAAATCATGTTACCCTTTTAGGGAGAGATTCTACTACCAATAGAACTTTGAGCTGCTGGGAATGTATTTGAATATGGTTCTTCTCTTAGCTAGAGATAACCCACATCCTATAGCTTCCTTTTCGATAAACTTTGAAAATAAGGCTAAGTGATTAAGTTACTTTTCTGAGTATGTTATTGCCTACATCTTTTTTTTCTACATTGTGTTTTCTACCATTCCAATTTGCTCTTTGGGTAGGGGAGGGATGATTCTTTCATTTTGTAAAAGCTCTTTCTATGTTTCTTTTTTCTTTCTTAAACCATCTTTCCATGAGTGCCAATGTATTTGCCTATAGAATTGGGTTATGCTTTTCTTATTTTCCAGATGGAAACCTTTTCACTTACACAAGACATGAACCTATTGGAGTCTGTGGCCAAATCATTCCTGTAAGTTATTCTCCCAGATGATTTTCAATGGGGATGGGGAGGAATAAAACTCTTGTGCTCGTTGATTTAGTGATAAGGCTCTCTCAAACTCAAATGAATGCTTATATATTCAGCAAGTAGGACTTGTTGAATCTGGTCTTGCTGTGACTAACCTTGGATATGAATTAGGGAATCCAGGAAAATATCCTAGCGTTACATGACAATTCACTTTTTAAAATTTGTATTATCTGCTCCTTATTAAGATCCCAGCTCTACAAGCATGCCCCACAGTGCTCACACAGGCTGCTCAGCTGAGCTGCAGGACACAACTGGAGTGAAGTGTCCTGTGGCCTACTTCTCTGTTTTCGCTTGAAGAATCCTTACCATGGACACTGTAGCAACCAGAGTTTTCAGATCCCAAAATATATTTTTAATTAAAACAGAAGAAAGAATACCAGAGATGGAGTACTCTATGGAATATATCTTTAGAAAACAGGCTTGGGATACTGCAGTCTCCTCTGTGAGAACACAGCATTTACATGAAATCACAATGATTTCCTTTACATGGTTTCATTTATGTGAAATCACGATGATTTCCTTTTAAGCCTAAGGATAAGGGAATCATCTAAACATGATCGACACATTGAATAAAACTAAATAGAAACATGATAAAGCATTCTGAAGTTTCACAATTCCAATGAGATTGAAATAGAACTATACTGAAATTTTCAGTAAAAATGCTCATTAGTTCAAAAGCTAAGCACAGAGTCATTCCTTGTTTTCATCTATAATGAAATATCAATAGAAATCCATAGTGAAGTCTTACACAGAGAACAAATTGATCCTCTTAGTTCACATAGCTGGTGGTGATTTTACTGAGATCACAACTCAAACATCACTCTGTCTCTAGATATTATATTTTGTCTCTAATATTATTTGTCCTGAATATTGTTCAGAGGAAAAGCACTACTTTGCATGGAAAGGGACCTGGTTTTAATTACACACACAAACACACACACACCATACACATACCATACACACACATACTGTCCTAGATATCAGTACTGCTAATAATATTACTGGATCTATCATAAGTCCCCTAAATGACAGGGAAAAATCATACTTTGAGTATAAATAGTTTACAACATAGTTATATGTAAAATCATGCAGTAAATTTTCCTGGTAGGAAAAAAATGACAGTATTTGAGTATATTTAGGGGCTCTCCGCCACTTCTCCTATCTGATTTAAACGTAACTATCATTTACTCATTGTTTAGCCATATTTTAGATTAAATAGATGATTACACCTAGTAGAAACTTATTAGTTAACATCTACCTGTAATGCATCTAATGTTAGAAGTCGCATTAGCACATGTAGCTTTGAGTAACACAAGCACCCTGCTGTCAATGATTGCTTCCTAGTGGAACTTTCCATTGGTTATGTTCATTTGGAAGATCGGGCCTGCCCTGAGCTGTGGAAACACTGTGGTGATCAAGCCAGCTGAGCAGACGCCCCTCACTGCTCTTCACATGGCAGCTTTGATAAAAGAGGTAGGTTTCCTGCAGTCAGTAACAGGCGGGCCTCACTGAGTACTACAGTAAACTGTCCTTTTTTACAAATGGCTCCTGGGTAATGCATGTAGGGCTGGAATTTCTAGAAGCCAGCCCAATGAAATCGGCCCAAATGCATGACAGGAGGCTAGACTCAGCTTAGAGTCAATCACCTTGCGACCAGTTCTTTCTTTTGTTTAGCTCCCAGAGCATAAACTTATGGTGAAATGAACGCACTATTCTTTCAAATGTTACAATGTTAAGCTGTCTTGTAGCTGCCACTGGGGGCAAATTTGTTAAATTCATTTAAACTTAACGAAACTTTTGACCAATAGGAAGGTTGGAGGTCACTGTGCTAATGTGCTTGTTTGTAATTCTCAGCCATATTTTTTGTAAGCACATGTGTGTGAGTGAATGAATAATTTATATCCCTGTTCCCATCATTGTTTATATTTCCCTGCTTGTTCAAAGTGACAAGGAACACATGAAACTGATTTTCCTCAACTGTCCTCATTGAGTGGACATACCTTGCCTTGTTCTTCATGCCTTACCAAAAAATCAAAATAGTGTCATCACTGGAAACATAACATTTAGAAACTGTGTAGGCATGCTGAATCCATGTCTTAAAACTGTTCTTTATGTCAAATTTAAAATAAGCAAAGGAGATGTCAAAAACAAGGAAATTGATTTCAATAACATGAAATTTTAGTGACCCTGAGATTAAGGTCTGTGAACTTTCATCCTAAATGAATAACTGTGTTTGTCTAATATTTTAATTTTACTAATTAAATAATATGAATGACCATTCACAACTCAGCTGAGCAGTAACAGCTACGAGCTAAAAATATGGCCACTCTTTAGTCTCTTATTTTTACACAAGAGCATAACAAATGCATTGTTTTTTTTCTTTTTAAGTATTTTAATACGGACTTTTATATGTTTTATTTCATTGGAGGTCAGGGAGCAGTGGGAGTTGAATTCAAAGCCAAAGCCTTGTACTTGCTAGTCAAACACTCTATTTGAGTTATAATCCCCCTTCCTTATAATATGCTCTGAAGCTGTTATTATAAAATTCAGAGACACTATCATTCAAGTCAGGATAGAAATGATCCACAGATTTATCCTGGGGAGAAAGTGTGCCTCAATAATGCAGCCTTTGAACTTGTTCTTGTGTGAGCTAAAAAGTAAGATATGGAAAAGAAATGAAGATAAAGACACACGTGAATTTCTCTTGGTAGAGCGTGTCAGAAAGTTAGCATAAAGGAGGTGCCTCGACCCTATCCTCTGTTTAAAATTAACATCTGAGTCCCGTTGTCACTCCTTTTCTTTCTACCTCATAGGCAGGTTTTCCTCCCGGAGTGGTGAATGTGGTCCCTGGATACGGGCCGACTGCAGGGGCAGCCATCTCTTCTCACATGGACATCGACAAAGTGGCTTTCACTGGCTCAACAGAGGTATGGGAACAGGTCATCAGCCAGTCCCTCCACCCATCACCCTGAGTAACTATTTGTAAGCCGACATTCCTTCAAACAACACTTCTTTTTCATGATTTGTTCTTATTTCTCGCATTCAGATCTGTTTATACTACACAAGCAGCAGTAGTTTGAATGAAATGAAATACTTCTTACAATGCCAGAAGGACTAAAGTAAACTGAGTGGGTTTCTTCCTTTCTCTTAGTAGAAATACAGCCACTGAGCCTGTGTCATCTGACTGGTAACATTTATGACAGAAAATACAAATTAGACCACAGAGACTTACGTGAATGAATACAACCGCGTTGTATAGGTTAGGAGAAATGAAACAGCAGAGCCTCAACCTGAGTTCGTTATTTGGGGTTCTCTCTTCTGTGACCCTCCTGAAGAGAACCAGAAACCCAGCCTTGCTTGATGTTACCAATGGCCTTGCCTAGCTTTCCTCTCTGGCTCCAGTATGGCCAGATATAAAGTTAAAAGTAAGACAACCACCATGGGTACTGCAAGAAGAGAAAGTGAAAAAAGAGGTGAGGGACAGAAGAGAACACTAAAATGAACATTCTAGTTGCTGAGTACTGTGATTATTATGGATGAGTAGTTCCTATACACTACAAATGATGCATAGAGATATGAAGGGATAAGATGGTTCTCTTTGGCTTCTTTGGGTTGATTGCTTGGCTTACATTAGGGAACTTTCCAAATGTTCTCCATAAGTCAACATCTCTCTATCATTATATCAATGAGACATAGTCTACTAAGTTAATCATTTCAAAGTAGCACTTGAAATACAATAAACCCTGACCACATAACATGAGGTAAAGTAAGTTAGAACATTTCCAGTAGCACTGATACTTCGGCTTCCCAGAGCACAGCCACCGTGTCCTGGTACACCCTCTTACCAGTACTTGCAGTTTTTATCTTTGTCTTCAACATAGACTTGGAGGGGAAAAAATGATAAAAAATAACTTTTTGCCAACTTAAAGAATGATATCAGGGTACAAAAATGAATGCGTCCTTGTGTTGCTCCTAACTATCTTTGTGGGACAATTCAAGCCAACCTTTCATTTGTAAAATGTAACCTTACTCTTGACTCATATTTCTGGACAGCTTTGGAATTAGTTCTTTAGACATTTGTATCTTTTAGAAAAATAGTCTGATCTTCATTTGCCAAGGCAAAAGGTATTTGTTTCATTAGAGTTCTTCTGGTAAGCATAAGCCTAACTAGAAAAGGTAGTAAAAAAATGAGAGGGGGCAGAAAGAAATTGGGGAGCTTCCAAAGGGGAAAGGACAAATATTTTATGTAAAAATGAAAAATTCTTCATTATTTCAAATAGAAGTGGTCATCAAAACACATTGTGGAGGCTGGGTGTGTTGTACCACTCCGTTAATGCCAATACTCAGGAGGAGGAAGTGGAAAAATCACAAGTTTTAGGCTTACCTGAACTGTAGAGAAAGACACCATTGAATAAAGAAATAAGGAAGAATGAAAGAGAATGAATAGAGAGAAGCGTGAGAAAAATGGAGAGGGAGGAAGGGAAGGAGGGAAGGAGAGATGGGGAAGAAGAAGAAAGGAAGAAGGGAGAGAGGGAGAAGGGAGAGAGGGAGGGAAACTGGGAGGAAGGAAAAGAAGGAAAAACATAAGTTATGAAAGTAAATGGAAATTTCAAACAAATTCTTCCCAATGAAAATCTACTTTTAGATTAGTTTTCAAAGCATAATTTTAGGAATTTGACTTAATCCCATGACATAGTTAAATAAAACAAAATATTAGCAGATTAATTAATGATCCATTCTCTAATGTACAGAACAGTTAGTTGAGTATACCCATTCAAAATATAATTGTTATTGTGTCATTTAGTTGGAATAAAAACATTTTATTAAAAATCCAACATATAGATTTAGGCATAAACACTGAGAATAACAGAAGGAAAAAAAATTATTGTCCCTAAAACAAAGAAAGGCAAAAATCATCTCAGTGGACTGTCAATCAATACAATAAAGAAGAGGTAATTATTGAAACATGTCAGGTTTTAGAGACAGAAAAACAGAAACAGAAGAATATGTTCTTAATGAACACTAATGCAGAAACAGAAAAAAAAGCAATGTCATTTTCTGTGAAGGAATAGCTAGCACAAAAGAGGAAACCAAAATTGTAGGATTCCAGTTCATTCAGTAATAACATAGAGCATACATATAATTTTTCTTCTGTTCCACTGACTAAAGCTGTGTGTGTTAGAGAAAAGAGTGGGCAATTTAAGGGACATATATATATATATATATATATATATATATATATATATATATATTAATGACATAAGTATGTGATATATATATATATATATATATGTGTGTGTGTGTGTGTGTGTGTGTATATGTATATTATCATTCAAGGCAGACTCTGAAAGAGTCTTTATGTGTTTCTTTGGGAGACCAAGAGAAGGAAAGGATCTTGTCCACAAAAAATTCAAGGAAGAGCTAGGATATGGGAAGAATACAGAGGTAGCCAAGTTGGGAAAGGAATGTGATTTTTTAAAAAAGATGAGGGAGATAAAGAGTCCTGAACATTAATAGAAGAAAGAAATATAAAATAGATGAGTTGTAGTGGTGTCATGGCAGACATGTCTAGTCAATCCACAGATTAAGTTCTAAAGAAAATAAAATAACCTTCTGGGTGTCTCAGTGGTAGAGTGCTTGCCTTGTATGCATGAGGCCCTGGGTTCGATTCCTCAGCACCACATAAGCAGAAAAAGCCAGAAGTGGCGCTGTGGCTCAAGTGGTAGAGTGCTAGCCTTGAGCTGAAGAGCTGAGGGACAGCGCCCAGGCCCAGAGCGCAGGCCCCATGACTGGCAAAAATAAAATAAAATAAAATAAGCTTCTGTCCAGCCACACACATAGATCACTTATCACGTTCTTTATCCAGTCTCTTGCCTGTGAGGGTTTTTTTCTTTTTTTTTTCTGATGGATCTCATTTCTGTAAACTTAGAATAGGGAGCTTTTTATATCTGAAGGTGCTAAGTCTTCAAAAATGCTACTCAGTGCTTTGTAATACATTTAAGGATGGCACAGACAATACGATATTAAATGAATCTCTCTTCATGAGGAGAGACTAACCCTCCTCATTGGCTGATCCATTTCAGGTTGGCAAACTAATCAAAGAAGCTGCCGGGAAAAGCAATCTGAAGAGGGTCAGCCTGGAGCTGGGGGGAAAGAGCCCCTGCATTGTGTTTGCAGATGCTGACTGTGAGTAGCTGCCCCTTTGTTCATGTTTCATCTTTCTTCCATTTCTGAAGTCTTACCAAACTATAGAGTGAATTTGAGTGTTACAAACAGCGTTATCTTGACATTTGTACACATAAATAAACACAGTTTAGAATAGGTTATGATATCATAATATGAAACTTACATAAAATAAGCATTGCATTTTTAATAATTCTACATATTTAATCATTAGCATTGTTTAATCATTAGCATTGTTTTAACTAAGGAGAGGGACCTGAGGCATGTTGGGTTGAGACCAACTGGGAGACAGTGATTTCATACTTCATTCCTGGTCCATTCACTCTGGGTCATATGTGCATTAAGTGAGATGGTCAAAGATAAAGGAAACCTATTTACAAACTTTTTTTCCTATCTCCAATAATTGAATTTACATATGTAAAGTCTACAGTGATGATGCAATCCCACATTTATTATTGTAGTTCATTGTTATTATGTCACCAGATAGAATTTCCATAATTCCTTCCTAAATAGTAATTCAGTAGTCAAAATAGATGGTCAAATATTCCTCTGCATTATTGATATGATGTTAAAAACAGAAGTTTTAGGTATTTTGTAGAATCTGCCTGCAATGCTATTGTGATATTAGTTGTAGGTGTTTTATTTTTTAGTAATTACTACCATGTTAATCATTCTGTAAATGTAACAAGATTTCTAATTCACCAAACCTATTTGTAAAATATATCTAGCGCAACTTAGTTGCTTTACTGTTGGATTGACTCTGCAGCATTTAGAAGAATTAGGATCAAGAAATTCCCAATTGATCAAGATAACATTGATTAAGATGACATTGCTCAAGACACACACACACACACACACACACACACACACACAAGTTCCCAATTAAGCAACCTAGGCCCAGTGTAACATGTAAACCAAATCAAGAAGAGTTTATAGGTAAGAGTTTATATAATATTATACGTGATTTTACACTGATTTTTAAAATGCTTTTTCTACAATAAAGTAATAATTTGGAAGAATTATTGTAAATTTTAATTGGTTTTGTTGTTAATTTTTCAGGAATATCACTTTTGCTATTCATCAAAATATTTAAGAACATTTTGAAATTATTTGAGACAACAGACTTTCAGCTAGCTAAAACCAGAGGCTCAAAAACACTATTTATACTATACAAAAATATATTAACTATTTAGTTTACTTATGTGTCTTAAGAAATGGAGTAAATTCACAGTAATGGAGTATGAATGTCTTCATTACCTATCAATAGACAGTTATGAAATCATTTGCAAAAAATATTTGTAATAACATTTGATCTTAGGATAAAGATCCACATTCTTGGTGACATCCATATTAGAGTTATATCCAATATTTTCTTCAATACAATGAAACCACAGTTTCTAAAACTGAGCTGAAATAAATCACTTCTAAGAGAAAGAACTAAAATCATATTTTGTAATCTTGGTTTCTACAATTCCAAGTAATAACTGCCTTTTTCAGGTTCTAGTATATATTTTTTGCTATTGTTTCCATAGTAAATATAAGATCACAGCAGTTAATTTCTATCTTACTTAATAGAGGTGAGCTGTATAAAGTCCATGTCTATACCATACATTACTTTTCTGTAACACTGTTTTGCCTATGATAAAGATGTGTATGTGTGTCTCTCCCTCTCTCTCTCTCTCTCTATATATATACATATACATATATGTATTAGAATATATTTCCTCTTTACTGTGAATGTTTTCATTATAGTGGACAATGCCGTTCAAATGGCACACCAGGGAGTGTTCTACCACCAGGGCCAGTGCTGTGTAGCTGCTTCCAGGCTTTTTGTGGAAGAATCCATCTATGATGAGTTTGTACGAAGGTGTGTTGAGCGGGCTAAGAAATATGTTCTTGGCAATCCTCTGACTCCAGGAATAAGTCAAGGCCCCCAGGTGAGTTTAGAAAAGTTACAGAAGGAATAGTGTTTCAAGGGACAAGAACAAAATAAAGTCTATTCTAGTTGTCAATTTTGATTATATTTGTTAGTTTTTCAAATGAATGCCAAGAACCCTAATTCTACTATAAATTGATGTCACTTTCCCAAAAAGAAATTGATTGTTTTGTTATTATTATATTATATAATGCATTATGTATTATATAATATATTATTATATTATAATTAATTACTTCTCTCTCTAAAAACCTGTATTTTTATGTTAATATGAAGCCCTTTCTCTGTACAGACATATAAAAAATACATACAAACATACTTATAAACAAAAAGAAGAGAAATCTAAGATCCTTCGTATTGAACATTGACTATCCAATATTTTCTTCCAATGGAGAATATACAATTAAACCACAGTTTCTGAAACTGAGCTGAAATAAATCACTTCTAAGAGAAAGAACTAAAATCATATTTTGTAATCCTGGTTTCTACAATTCCAAAATAAGCATTCCACTGATTAAGATTTTAATCTCTGGAAGTGAATGTATTTTTATGACAGGTTGCTCTAAATAGGATAAGTAGGTATTTTAGAACTTTGAGAAACAAAAGACCAAAACCTCTTCAGGGCTTATCCACCCTGCAATTATTCATCTGTTGTTATAAGAAGGAACTTGGGGAAAGAGACACTCTTAAGTGTTAGCCTAGTGTTTTAGCTATTGGTGATTAAGTAACAGTCTTTTAAAATATAGCTATAGGCTCTTTCTCATAAATGCCATGAGAAAATCATTATGTAGAGAAAATCATGGCTAAAAATGTTTATAATTTTTAATAATTGTTTTCTTATTTTAGAGCTCTCACACTCAATGTTTTTGGATTTTAAAGCAACTACAATATAGTTGTGTACTATTTATATTATATATATATATTCATATGAGTATCTTTTCCTCCATTTTTAAAGTGATTTTCCTATTTGACTTTATAGATCAAAGTATGTGCTTTAAAGAAAACTTGAAAAAAATCAGTGTCTTAATTTAAAATGGCATTATTGAGTCTATATGAAATGTCCAACTTCAGCAAAAATAGCACTTTGTCAAGGCATGGAGTAAGGGATTTTTTAATTACTGGTCATTTTTTAAATTTTGGCCTCTTTCATATTCTTTTTCCTCTTCCATGAGTGTCCATAGTAATTTTGGGATTGTGAAGTCATAGCAAATGATAAATGATACTAGATAGATAGATATAGATGAGTGATTTATGTATCTATTCTCATTTACCTGGAGAGCTGTTTATCTTTTTTAAAAAAATTCTTTCCTTCTCTTCCCATCAAATCTAAGGAATCAGTGAAAATATATAGTGAAACACACAAAAATATACAGTTTGGGTTGGACAATAGTGGCTCACGCTTGTAGTTCTAGCTACTCAGGAGACTGGGATCTAAAGTTTATGGTTTGAAGCCAGCCCTAGCAAGAAAGTCAATGAAACTCGTGTGGCCAGTTGAACACCAAAAAGCCAAAAGTGGAAGTGTAGTTCACGTGGTAGGGTGCCATTCTTGAGCAAAAAACTAAGGAACAGCAGCCAAACCCTTACTTCAAGCTCTTGTACTGGTGTACCAGTACAAAAAGGGAAAAACAATAAAAGAAAGAACAAGTAAAAGGGAAGGAAGGAAAGAAAGGAGGAAGGGAGGGGAGGGAAAAAGGTAAGAAAGGAGGAAGGGAGGAGAGGAGGAAGGGAGGGAGGGAGATAGGAAATGAGAGAAGAAAAAGAAAAACATACCATTTGACTATCAGAACTGGGCCATCAGCTCTTGGATTTTATACAGTAGTACAGAAGCCAATGAGTTTTCTAGTAGAAAGATCTGATTTGTGCAAACATGATTGAATAGTACCTTTTGTTGAAAGAAAACAAAGTTCATCTTTAGTCTGTCTGAACACTTCTGAAGATCCTATGTATTTATGGTGAAACAGTATTAACCAGACTAAACTGAACGTCCCCTTAAGAATAGCCAAAACTTTCTCTCCCTCATCCTTTGCTCTCCTGAGACGTGCCTCCATCTTTCCTGTGCATTTAAATGACCTAGCGATTCATCAGGTCTAGGGACAGGACAGAGAAGCTCATTTTGCTACCAGACAATAACAGAACTGCTACCTGTAGGAGATTGTCAGGAGCAGAGCACTTAAAGCTGAAGTCCTTATCTTTTCCACATGTTTTCCAACCATTTTTTTCAACCTCTTTCTGATGTATAAATGCAGGGATTGGATTTTTATCAGGTATGTACACTGGTCACAGGCAGGAAAACCCCATGACTTGAAATAAAAATATATCATGATTTTAAGGTAATAGTCTGATTAACACCTAGTAATAGAGACTGCACATGAGGTATGTGATCCTTGTCTACTTATTTGTGAGACCATCTGAGCCAAAAACTATTTACTGCCACCTATTTAGCCTGATTATATCAAAAAATATGCAACAACATATATTTTCTTTTGAATCAACACTTTCATTCCCTTAACTTTCTGGAAACAAAAAAAAGACTTTCTTTGTTAAATGACCTGTTAAAGTCGGTGCACTGAAGAACCTTGAGAAACATTGTACCAAATATCCTTCCAGAGTTTCTAAAATAGTTTCTAACTCTAGACAGCATTTAACTCAGATGTGAGAGCTGAATTATACAAGGTTATAAATAACTACAGAATTTTTTTATTTCTGAGCTTCGGGAGATGGAGAAGTTTTGTAGAGCTAAAGAAAAACAGGAGGAATGCCACTTTTCACAGTGAGAAGCAACACATTCAAATACTCCACACCCTGCTTAGCTCTTAGATCTGTTGGGGTTTTATTTGTTGTTTTGTTTTAACAAGCTATACTACAGTCACATAGCCCTCTCTAATGATGTCAGTCAGTTAATGCTTCAACCTCAAAAGTGTAGGAACAGATACTATATGGTACCCCTCATTCCAGTGCTTGGAGAGAGATACTGTGCTTATTCCCAACAAGAATTTATAGCTCTTTTTAAATTCCTCTTAAAAGTATAATTAAAAAAAACTAATTTCTATAATACTTGTCAGAAATTTGTGTGATCTGTTTAAATGAGATGTAATAATCAGGACTGGCTAGAAATTGTCATCAAGCCTACTGACCTAAACTGAGAAAGCTCGCTCAATTCATGGTCAGAATGTACTATCCAAGAGTATTTTTCAAGGAAAAGCTGCTTCAGGGGTAGCAAGATCCAAGCAAAAGAGTTTGAACCTTGAAATCCAAAAGCACCTACATCCAAAGGGCTATGTGCGAAACAAACTGTAACCAAACCTCTGTTTTTCAGTCAAATGTCCAAGATTATGATTAAACCTTCATTTCAAAGTTGTGTGATTCATATATGTTCCTAGTGTCAATATATGTTTCTTATATGGCCTTCTATGCTAAATGTAAACAGCCTCCATGGTGTTTCTTTCCCTAAGAATTCATGAGAAATAAATGCATGCAAGAATTAATCTCAATCTCTCTATAATTCTGTGGGAATTCAACATTAGAATGAATAGCAAAGATCCTACATTTTCAAGGCTCAATCATTTAAGTTTACTTTTCTACCTATGATCATTTTTCAAATAGGTGGACAAGGAGCAGCATAATAAAATTCTTGACCTTATTGAGAGCGGGAAGAAAGAAGGCGCTAAGCTGGAATGTGGAGGAGGACGCTGGGGAAATAAAGGCTACTTTGTCCAGCCCACAGTTTTCTCTAATGTTACAGATGAAATGCGCATTGCCAAGGAGGAGGTAAATGGTTTATGGTTTCATTCTGCTCTGTCCCTTTGCTTAACCCCCCCCCCCCTGATTCTCTTTCTTCCTCCCCATCTCTCTGAAAAACTGTCAGGTCTTTCTCAGTAAATACTACTCCTAAGTTATTTTTATTGCAAAAGGTTTATTTATAATTAATGCCACATACGTTAAGGAATCCGTTTGGTCTGACAAGAATTTCTAGCTGAACCCTGAGCAAGATGCTTAACAGTATCTGAGTGTTCACAGCTTGAAACTAACTGGCAGGATAGGAGTCCTGTTGCATATGTGATAGTCCACATAAACACAAAGGGCATTATTTTGCATGAAATAGACCAGACACAGGAAAACACACGCCAAATGATCTCAATGTGTGGCATATAATCAAGTCAACCTCATGAAAGCAGAGAGTGGATCGGTGGCTACCAGTGTGTTTGTGGGAGAATTGAGGGGGACAGTAAGGAGCTATTGATCAAAGGATACATTTGCTTTAGACAAGAGGAGTATGTTCAAGATACATACTGTACAGTATGATGACTATAGCTAACAACAACAGGTCATATTCCTGAGCACATTTTTTAAGTATTTTAACTACAGATGAGTGCATAAGCAAATGCTTAAGTTCTATTTTCTGAGAGGTAAGAGGCTCTGTTTCTACATATGAGCCATTCAGCCCCACCTTCAGTATGCTCTTGGACCTATATTTTTGATTGGTTAAATTACTAATTTGGCATATGAGTGTATACAAATTGAGTATACTTTATACCTATGTGTGTATAAATTATAAACACATAATGTGCATATATATAATGTGTATATGTCTGTATAATTATTTACCAAAGATTTAACCAATATTAGGAAGTCTAATTAGGTAAAAAAATACATGGAGCCAAGTGCATATAAAAGCACAAGTTTGAAATATATAAATAACGTATATATTAGTATATATATAACATATACCATTACATTATTTAATTGTACATTTTGGTTAAATATTAGATGAGATTAAACTAAATAACTTGATGGAAGCTGTCTTCTAGAGATATAATATATAATGAGTTTACATATAAGAGAGGTAAGTAATTTATCTTGTGTACTGAGGGGTTTTGAACATGCAGAGATTGATGAGCTGGCTTTGTGTTGTGAATATGCTCCATCATACACGATGATAAAGACACTGACAGCTCAAAGGAACTAAATCATAATTCATCCATTAAGTAAATTTGTACTTTGTACTTTATGTCCATAATAAGAGAACCTGTTTCTTTTCTTGTATGTGTGTGTGTGTGTGTTCCTTGCTTTCTCTTAGCTGTCCCATTGGTTTATGTATGTTGTTAGTTTTGTTTTGCTTGTTTGTTTTACAAACCTGGTGATTTTACTCAAAACATCTTACTGTCTTCCCTCCTGATAGCTGAGATTTCAGACATGTGCCAAAACACCCAGTTTTGAAGTTATTTTCTTTATGTCTTCCATGTTGTCAAAGTAAGGTATAAGGAAGGCATAGTCAAGTTTCCACAAAGAAATAAATAAATAGAAACTGGGTGGTATGGCTCATGCATGTAACCCTAGCTTCTCAGGAGGCAGAAAGTTGGAGGATCACTTTTTGAGGTCAACCCCCATCCCCCAGAAAATTTTTGAAATCATCATTTCCACCAGAAAAGCTTGATAGGATTACACAAAGAAGGGGAGGGGAAACTTATACTATCATTTAAAATACTTCATTTAAACCTACTTTTATGTATTGCTTTCATTTTCCTGATGTAGATATTTGGACCAGTGCAACAGATCATGAAGTTCAAAACTGTAGATGAAGTGATCAAGAGAGCAAACAATACTACTTATGGCTTAGCAGCAGGGATCTTTACTAAAGACCTCGATAAAGCTCTAACCGTCTCCTCTGCACTGCAAGCAGGCGTGGTGTGGTAAGTCAAAGTGTAAAAATGCACAGGATTTCATGTGAGCTGCAGAAAAAGGTTAACTTCATTTGTTGTCTCCAGCCCTTAATTTCTCATTTGCAATTTTATGTCTTTCCACAAAGTAGCAACACCAGCAAGCAAGCAGCAACAACAACAAAACTAGAGAAACACTATATTGGAAGAACTATCCTTAATGCTATCCTTTACAAAATTACATAGACCGAACATTTATTTTTTTATTTCTTTTATTAATTCATTTATTTTTAATATAATTTTTATTTATTTTGTAAATTGATGTACAGAAGGGTTAGAGTTACTTAAGTCAGGTAATGAGTACATTTCTATTTGAACGGTATCACCTCATCCCTCATTTCCTCCCAGTTTTTCCCTCCTGATTCTTCTCCCCAACAAGTTGTATAGTTCATTTTCAACATAGTGTCTAGTGAGTATTACTTTTACAATTGTTCATCCTTTGTCCCACCATTTCTGTTATCTCCTTACCCTCCCCCAAACAGATCAGAAATTAAAAAACAGCAATAAAAAATGCAAAGCAAAACCACAAAGCAAAATAACAAAAAAATCTCTTATTTCCATTTCTTGAACTTCATTTTAATAATGATCATATGCATATAGCTATTAAGCACTTGTGATCCTCTTCTAAGAATATCCTCTTTTGGTCTCACTGTGTGAATGTTTACAGTCCTGTTTACTATCATGTCCAAGTGAAATTTTTTTGTCTTTTACCATCCAGCGTGTTTACTTGTAGATTTATAGGCACTTTCTAGTTACAACAAATGAGGGAAATCATGCAATCTATGTTTCTTTGGGTCTGGCTTACTTCACTTAATATGCTTTTTTGCAAGTCTTTCCATTTCCTTACAAAAGGTGCAATATCATTCTTTCTGATGGAAACATAGAAATCCATTGTGTATATAGACCACATTTTCTTCATCTATTTGTCCCCCGAGGCCTCTGGGCTGATTCCATATCTTCACTATGGTAAACAATGCTTCCATGAGCATGGTTGTGCTAGTAGGTTTAGTCTGACCTTGTTTGTGTTCTATTGGATGAATGCTCAGGAGTAGAGTTGCTGAGTCGTAGGGGAGCTCAATGTATAATCTTTTGAGGAACCTCCATACTGCTTTCCAGAGTGGTTGAACAAGTTTACACTCCCACCGACAGTGTATTCAAGTTCCCTTTGGCCACATCTCCACCCGCATCTTTTATTGTTAGTTTTCTTGTTCATGGCTATTCTAACTGAAATGAGGTGGAATCTCCATGTAGTTTTGATTTGCATTTAAAAGCTGCAAGTGGTGCTGTGGCTCAAGTGATAGAGCACCAGTCTTGAACAAAAAGAAGCTCAGGGACAGTGCCCACCCCCAGAGTTCAAGCCACAGCACCAGCCAAAAGAGAGAGGAGAGGGAGAGTAAGAGAGGAGAATTGTTATGTAGTTAGATTTGTCTTCTAACATGGAATAGTAGGATGTTTGAAACAAATCATGCATGCAATGCAAAAATATCTTCTCCCCCGTCTCCTCACCCCTTGTCTTCATTTTCTTTCAAAAATCTGATTTATGCATATTCTTGCAATTAGATTTTTATATAAACAACTTCAAGACTTTAGTGATAATCAGTCAAATTCCCGTTAACATCTCTGTGTTAACAGGTTACTGAATCAGATAATGAAAACCAAATTGAGTATCATATGGATTGGAATTACAACAAAAGTTGATTTTAGCCTAATAAGTATATAAACTTGAAGATACGTATAAAGCTTACAAATTATTGGCAGTAAAGAATGCAGTGCAACAAATCCCACTCTCTAATAAATGCCTGTCTTTCCCTTTATGGCTTATCAGTTGTTCCAAGTCTATCCCAAGCGTAGTTGTATGATTAGATTTATTTCTAGGTAATATATGGGTATACTTACTGCCTGTCCTGTCTTGTATAGTGCTTTTCATATTGCTGGGTTACACTGAAATTCAAGTAAATGGAATTACTACAAAGTTTGATGAATTTCTACAATTCACAGTTTTTCATAGGTTCAGTGTTATTTAGACGTTATAGAGAAGAACATCACTTCTTTTGTTTTTTTCAGGGTAAATTGCTATCTTTTGTTATCTGCCCAGTGCCCCTTTGGTGGTTTCAAGATGTCTGGAAATGGACGAGAAATGTAAGAATAACATTTTTATATAGATAAATACTATCTTTGATGAAAATTGTTTTAACACTTGGGGAATTAATCCATGTTTGCGTCTTTCGAGAAACGTGCCTCTATTCTTTCCTGCATATTCATACCACTAAATAGCTTATTAAAGGTGGTTGTTCTCTCTAAATGCAGAAAGGCAGAAGCAAAAGGGACAGATAATTTATTATTAAAGTCCTACTGTTCATAGGGACCATATTAAGCACTGTATGTTGGTGGTTCAATTATAGACTACTTTTAAAATTTATTGTTACATATATGATGTACATCTGGGAAATACTTCCAGAACTGAGGTGAATCTTTAAAAGAAGTATGATCTAGTTCCTTGAATATACTTCTTAAATAACTAAATTTGTGGCCTTATCCCAAAAATGATTTAGTGTTCAGATGAATGATTTTCATATATTAAAATATTGTTTATATAGACTCAAAAATTTAAATTACCTGAATGATTTCTTTAGGATTTTAAAAAATCAATATAAACTGAGAGGGAAATTTGACTCAGATAACAGTTTTTATGGTTGTGACTAGATTGAGAATATTGTACATAAATATTGTACATAAATGTGCTTATGAGCCTTCAGTTGCTTTTGAAACCAAGATAGATAGGCTTCTGAATATATACATTACATTATATATATTATATATATATGTGTGTATATATATATATATATATACACACATATACACACATAAACTTGTGGCACTATATTTAATGTGCAAGTACCTTTCTGCTCTTAAAATTTTATTAAATAAAAATGAATAAATCAGAAAAAAAGATATATTCAAACGTGAAATCAAACAAAGGAAAGTTTCCCATTTTGTTAATATCAAGTAAAATAAACCTTAGTTTTGGGCCTGAGGGATGACAAAAATTCTATCCATTTCTCAATATTAATAACTGTGTACTTGCTATGAATAAAGCTCTAGCAGTCCCAGAGGTCTGACAGTATAGACTCTATATCACTGTGTTGGCAGAAAGAATATGTAAAAAAAATAGAGTGGAAAATGGCTGTACAACACACAGTATGAAATAAGTCAAAATAGTTTACCTCATGAAGTTAAGGAAGTAGTTAAAGACCAAGTGTTGAAGGGCAGAAAATCTGACTAACAATAAAGCATTGATACAGAATCTCTCTAATAATCATGATGTTCATCTGTTAAAGATGGTTAAGGACTGTGTGAGAATAAAAGAAGGAAATAGGTTTTGAGATTCTTTTCATGCTGAAGTTTCTATGGTTTGAACACCATTAATAACTGAGTACATAAAATGTTAATGGAAGCTGGTCGCCAGTGGCTCACATCTGTAAATCCTAGCTGCTTAGGAGGCTGAGATCTGAGGATAGAGATTCAAAGCTAGCCTGGGCAGGAAAGTCAGTGAGAATCTTATTACCAGTAAGCTATTCAGAAAATGCTAGAAGTGGTTACTATGGCTCAAGTGGTAGAGAACTAGCCTTGAGCTAAAGCAGCTCAGGGACAGTGCCTAAACCCTGAGTTCAAGCCCCACAACCAGCACAATAATAATAATAACAATAATAATAATGTTTGCTGGAGTAACAGAACTCACAGAAGAAGCTACATCTAAGTGAAACAAAGAGTTCAAGTAAATAGAGAGAAGAGCATTTTTGCACAAGATGTGTTGAATGTTGAATGGCTAGTCAACGTGGTTAGTGTAGACTTCTGTGAGGAAGGGTTTGATTTCAGTGTTAAATATATGTAAATTAGGAGGACCAGAATCCAAGGAAATTGGCTTGGGTCTGCTTATAGGAATATTGAAAAGCCATGGTTATCTTTTCTTGAATGGTCAACTGGTAAGACGTGCGCAGGCTACGAGAAGACATAGGGAACACAGAACTATATTTGAGTCATGGCCTCATTCTGTTTTCTGACTCTTGAGCCTCCATTTCTTCATATTTAAAATGGAGACAGCAGGTCTCTTTGAATGATTTTACAATTCAAATGACATAGAATGCTCAGTTTCTAGCCTTATGACTACCCACGTGAAGACACAAGTTTTCTTCCCTTTCCTCATTGCTATTCTTTGTATTTTCTATTACTGCAACATTCCTACACAGAACTAATTACTTTCTACCAAAAAAAAAACTATTACAAAGGTTAGATTGTTTTAAAGGGCAGCTCATGCCTTGCTGGCCCAGTTTCCCTGGGGATAAAGGCAGAATGTACAAAGGGTAAAAATAATAGACACAGTATGTCAATTTTGATGCATATAATTTTGTCAGACTTTAATTTGAAGTATAGGGAAATGAAATAGGAAGACTAGAAGCAGAAATCTGCCATCCATAATTTCCTTAAATTTGGGTCTAAATAATTTCCTTCTTGAAGATACAAAGGAAAAGATTAAATTATAATTATTACTTCAGAAAGTCTAGCTGAGATTGCTACTGTTAAGAGTCTCCCTACTAAAATTGGAGAAATAAATAAGCCAGCCATTTACTGGATGCTGTGTAAACGGAATTACTGAAGTAATAACTCAAGTGACCCTCTAGAGATAAATTATAATTTGTGTTCAGTTGAAAGGAGAGCCCTGAAGAAGACAAAACTAATGTAGAACCCAGAGTGTTCAATGGTAACATGGGATGCCTAGCCTGATTTCTGAATCTTTGACCACTGTGTTGAATGGGAGAAAGCTCTCCCTGTGTGTAATCTTATTTATTATTGCAGAGGTTAACTTCAATCACTTGGGACTTGTCCATTAGGACATTTCAAATTCAATTAACCCTCATACTTCCCAATGTTGTCCTCCCTCTTTCTCTCCCTCCCTCCTTCCTTCCTTCCTTCCTTCCTTCCTTCCTTCCTTCCTTCCTGCCTGCCTGCCTTCCTTCCTTCCCTCTTTCCTTCTCTTTCTTTATGTGCAGATACTAGTACTGAAATTAGGGCCTTGGTGGTATCCTATAGCTTTTAAAACTAAGGGTGGTACTCACCCACTTGAGCACAAAAAGGTGGATTGGGGAAATGGGTCTCACAGACTTTCCTTCCCTGCCTGGCTTCAAATCATGATCTTCAGATCTCAGCCTCCTGACTCACTAGGATTATGCATGAGTGTACCACCAGCACCTGACTAGATACTACTTTTCCTTGCTTCTTTCAAATAGGGGGTACAAGGCAATGTTGTAAATGACTGGGTTTATAGCAAGAAATCAGATGAATAATTTTGCGTGATTATATTTGACAGTGCAATTCAGCAAATATTTCCTCCTTTTCTTCTTAATTAGTGCAAAGCTCATTTCTAGGCACAGAGGGAAAAATGATGTAAGTTGGTACCTTTCTACTTAGAGTGTGGCTAGTGGAAGGCTATTAGAAATGCAATCTCAAACCTCACTCTAGAACTACTGAATCAAAATCAGCATTTGCATGAAGTCCCAACTGATTTGTACAACGAAGGTTTTTAAAGCACAGAACTCGTAACTCATTGATGCAGTAAGATAAAGAAATGAAGCACATGTTCTTGTGATCCAACACAGATACAAATGTGTGTATAGGAATCCTAATGGAGGGGAACTACTGACAGCGTGAATGTGACAATAATCTCAATTATAACTCTCCTGAGAGTATCAAATGTTCTTATGACTCAAACTACAATGGAAAGTCTATTGGTGAAAAATCAAGGGTTAATTTAGCTAGCTTTTGAGATAAAATACTACCTTTTAATGGATTTCAGACAGCTGAGTCTAAACCCTTTAATTACTTTGAATAACATGCTCATTGAAGCTTTTAAAAAGGTATTTTCAAAAGCTTAATTGCCCAAGAAAATAATCAGTGTAAGGGGATTAGGTTTCTCAGAGGGGGAAAAAAAAGTCTTCAATGTACCTGTCTACGGCACAAGAAGAAAGAGGGGGAAAAAAGGATCAAGATCTCATTCCTTTTCACACCTACATGTGCACTGGTGTTATGATTGTAAAAAATGGTTGTATATACATGTAATTTCATCTTCTTACCAAAACAATGTAGAAGATAACTGAACCCAATCCTTCTGGGTATCTCTTCAATGAAGGCTAAACCATCCTTTGTACACGTGGTGAGAGGAATAAAGCTGATGACATCATACAGGGTACAAACAGCCTGGCATATTACTTTGGGTACTTGGTGTAGACTTAAGAGTTACATGAGAAAGTGATTGGGAAAAAAGAGGTTCTTTAAAGAAGTGAAAAAAGACACATACAAAACTGCAAAAGGTAGAATTTAGACCAATCTTTATTGCCCAAGTTCTCTCTTAATACATGCAAGCAATCGAAAAAGAAAGAAAAGCCTATCAATAAAAGGTAAGGTTTTATTTTGTTTATATTTTTGCTGTAAATCAAATGATAGTCTTAAAACTATAGCTGCAAAAGATGAGGGACATCTTGGGACACGAAAGCCAGGTTTTTCTTTCCTTTCACCCTCTGTGGAAGTGGTAACTATAAGCTCCACTTTAGATTGCAGTTTTTTTGTGTGTTACTCCTAAGTGATTACATAACACAACTTCTCTTGCTTATTTATTTGAACTGAATCCAACATTGCTGAAATTCTTGTTGAATTGCCTTTGGAATAGTTAGAACTTCAATAGACAAGTAATATTAAACATGGACAGACTCTGGGAAGTCAACTGAAAGTATGTGATTATTTATTTAGGAGGGAAAAAATGTTTTAAAGAAGTTTTCTACACAAATAGATTCATGTTCCACAACAACTTATGATCAGCGAGCTCTTCTGTGAAATTCTCTGCCCATAGCAAATACCTCCCATTGTCCCTAGCCAAATAAGCAAGAACGAACTTGCATTATATCAGTGACTAGCTCGTTTTCCACAGTGGTGTTTATAGATGTTTTTCCTTCTCTCCAGGGGAGAATATGGCCTGCGTGAATACACTGAGATCAAGACAGTTGCCATGCAAATCTCTGAGAAGAACTCCTAAAAGAACCCTTACCGAAGTAAAAGGAAGACCCTTCTCCATTGTTGAAGCATCTTCTACGGTTACTAAAACAGTTAGATTTAAATAAAAAATGATTTTTCTTTGATTTTTTTTAAAACATAGCTAATCATTAGTGCTAATACTACTCATAGAAACCATGTTGTGAATTCTGAAACCATGAAGTATGTTCCTTTTCATATGTGATCCCAATTCCTATCCTAAATAAAAATGATGGATTTGAGCGCAAGATAGCTCTATGCTTGTCATAGTCATACACTTTCCCTTGTAGCTACATATCTAGAATATCACCTCGTAGAAAAGGATCTGTAGTTATTTAGCCCTTTTCCCATAATGACTTCTTAAAGTACTCAACACACATTAACTGCACAGTAAGTTGCTCGAAATGTTTCCTATAATGTCATGTCTGCTTGTCAAATGAAGTACTTAGCTGTATCTGACTACAAAGCTTAATAAAACACAATCCTGCATGATTTCTGTTCAGTTTGATTTTTTTTAGATGAAAGTTTGGGTTATTGTGATTTATCTGTGTCACTCAAAAACATCATTTTATTCAGCATAAAATTGCACTGAAAAATAAAAATTCAATCCACTCATCTTCACATGGGTCTAAAGAAATGCTTTATTTTCCAGGGGAATCCTTGAAAATCAGTAACACACATTTCGGATGGGTCCTTTGTAAATATTAACTTTATATATAGTTTTAGGCAGAAATAGTATAGAAAAAGAAAAGCAAAGGCCGAGCACTGGTGTCTCATGCCTGGAATCCTAGCTACTCAGGAAGCTGAGATGTGAGGATCATGGTTCAAAGCCAACCTGGCAGGAAAGTCCTTGAGACTCTTATCTCCACCAGAAAACTAGAAGTGGCACTGTGGCTCAAAGTGGTAGAGCACCAGCCTTGAACTTAAGAGCTCAGGGACAGTGTCCAGGCCCAGAGTTCAAGCCGAATGACCAACAACATCAACGAAAAAAGGCAAACACTGAGTGATCTGTTAAATGGAAGTGCATTACTTTATTGGAGAGCAAAGACACCATCCCTACAACTCTAACTAGGAGGCATATAAGAACCTTAAGACTGAGTGATCTGCCCAAGGGGTGATGATCAAGTCTAGTCTAGAGAATTGGGAATAGTTTAATAATGAGTATTATATTGGAGATGACTCTTCATATTGATAGGATTTACAGTGAGTAAAAGGAGAAGAAGGCAGCATAATCCTTCTGGATACATTTCATTATAAACACTAAGATCATTCTGTAACACTGTGTTCCCTTCCTTAACAATATCTCCTAGGGGCTGAAAAAAACGAAAACCTGTTTGGTTTTTGTTTGTTTGGGGTTTTGTTTTTTTATAAAAAATTTAAACTTTTTTTATTACAAAGGAGTTTCCAATCAACAAAGTGTTTATAAATACAATCTATCTTGATTAAGGTCACCCCTCTGGTACCTACCCTGTCTCTCTTTCTTTTTAATTCTGTGTGACATACATGGGAATCTTGGATTTGATTGTGTTTTAATATACATTTTTTTCTACCAAATTCCTTTCCTCTGGCCTCCTTTAACTCAGCTGAACATTAAGGAGAGCAGGTTGGGTGATGCTGTTTCACGTGAGAAGGCATCATTTGGTAATATAGGGAGAAGGATGAGGATCGCATATCTGGTTTGAAAGCCTAACTATCCCATGCTTCTATTATACCCACAAAACCAAAACCTTTCATTCTCATGTAAGAAGCAAGTTAGGCCCAAGTAAAAGCAAGTGAATGTTTATGTATTATTACTCTACAAATTACAACATCTCCTTAGTTCAACAACTTAAAATTTAAGCCAAGTAAGCTTTATGATAACCTTTACTCCAGATTCAGAGCTTACATCAGTTTATATTTTTATTTTTGTTATTTAAGTCGTTATACAAAGAAGTTTCCTCTGAACAAAGCAGTTTATAAAGACAGTGTATCTTGATCAGTGGCGTCTCTGTTAGTGTTCTCACCCATCTTTCCCTTACCCACACCTTCTTTCATTCTTCATAATGTTGTTAGCTATACATTGAATTCTTGGCAGCATTCTTTCCTTCTTCTCCTCTGTATTGATCTATCTCTTTCCCCTTGACCCCACCTCCCCACTTTTGAGGAAATGGAAAGACCTGGAAAAATTATGTTAAGTGAAATCAGGCCAGAGAGACAAAAGCTGTCTATTTTCCCTTATATGTGGAAGCTAGATTTAGCTTATAAACTTATAAGTGAATACATCAGATGGTATGCAAGTGTATACAAATGGATTAATTGGTGTAATTAGAAAGGCAAAAATCAACGGTCAACAAAATAAATTTATTTTTATCATTTTACAGTAATTAATACCCTAGTGACTCTGATATTATATCACTGTAATGGCTATTGGTAGACAGAAGCAACAATGTAAGAACGAAATAATTTCAATCCCAATTTTGAGTTCTTCAAACTTGTATAAACTTATAAGATTTGCAGTTTGAACTATCTTGTAAGATTTAGGACAGAATTGCCATCTGAAACCAAATCTCAAGCATTTGCTAGAACTGAAAGGTCTTTAGATGTTGAGAAAGAAAGATATCCAAATAAGGGAAACCATGGGACCTATGTTTCTTTGGGCCTGGCTTACTTCACTTAATATAATATTTTCCAAGCCTTTCCATTTCCTAACAAATGGGGCAATGTCATTCTTTCTGATGGAGGCATAGAATTCCATTGTGTATATATACCACATTTTCTTGATCCATTCATCTACTGAGGGGCATCTGGGTTGGTTCCATATCTTAGCTATGGTAAATAATGCTGCAATAAACATAGTCATGCTGGTAGCTTTAGTGTGGTCTTGTTTATGATCATTTGGGTAAATGCCCAAAAGTGGGATTTCCGGGCCAGAGGGAAGCTCTATGTGGAGTCTTTTGAGGAACCTCCATACTGCTTTCCAAAGTGGTTGAACAAGTTTACATTCCCACCAACAAGGCAGTAAGGTCTGAGTCAAGCAGAAAAGGTCAGATAAGTTGATGTTAAGGGAATGAACCCCAAGATAAGTATTCAAATGTTTTGTTTTGTTTTGTTTTCCTTTCATGCAATTGTTTCTATCATATTTATAAGATGATTTCTATGTTGCTTTGTATGTCCCTCCCCCACAGTATAATCCATACTTTCACTGTTTTTGATGTTGGTATAATTTGTGGAGGGGAAGGGGGAAAAATTGTTTAACTAGGGATACAGGAGGAGGCAGCAATGCTTGATAAGAAATGGACTCGTTATCTTGCCCATATAATTGTAACTCCTCTGTATGGTATTCTCACAATAAAAAAAATAGAAAGATATCCAAATACAGAGAAGGGGTGAGTTTTCCTAAAACCAAATAGTGTCTACATTTTAAAATATATGTTTAAAACCATGTGCAAATAAATTAATAGGTAGACATGTTACTGTTGGAATAGAATCCCACCAGGACATCCTTCAATGTATAACAAAGAGTGCTGAACAGGACAAAAACCAGAAGTGAGTTTAAATATTTGAAGATTAACTCTTGGTTGTATAAATAAGACATTATAGGATTACACAGAATAATATCTGTTTTATATTCACTCATCCTGAATCTCTGGACATTATTTGTATTCATTCCATTATTTGTATGAAAGCTATACTGGCAGTAACTCTTTAAATCTTGAAAATTTTCAGTATTTCTTATTAGTCCAACTATAAGAAATTTTTATGAAGAATTCAGTTTTGTAGTCATAAACATGATTTCACTGTCCTCAATGCCCACATAGTCACAAGTATTTTCACCTCAAAGAATATCAAACAAAGTGATAGAAGGTAAAATGCAAAAACATTGTTAAGTCTCAGATGCATATTCTAAAATGTCTAGTCTCAGAGGATTTTTTTCCTAATTTTTCCTTTCTTTTTCTCTTCCTTTGATAGTTTTTCCATATGATATATTCCCCTGGGTTAATTATGAACTAGTCAAGGAAAAACAGTAAAGGGGAAATAAATGTTTCTTAGATTCTTATGTCAACTAAAAACAGAACAACTTCAAGATGGAAAGTTATAGCCATGTCTCCACATGATTCAGGAAAAGGGTGATGAACTCAATATCTTTTCCATGGGCAATGTGTGTTTTGGTGTGTATTATAATTTTTGTGTATATTTATAATTTTTCCTTTTCCAATTTTATTTTCTGGCTTATTTTATTTTCTGGCTTATCAGATTGCCTACAGTCTAATCGCATCTGAGAAGTACCTTGAAATCAATTAACTACAAATCCTTTAGCCACATAGAAATTGTACTTTCCTGTCAAAGTACAGTTGTGCTACAAACATCCTGACCTTTGGAGTCAGGTTCCAGTTTCAACTGCATTAGCAGTATGAACTTAAATCAATTATTAAACCATCCCCACATAGCAATCAAACAACAGGTTGTGGTGCCTTTTGATATTTGGAAGTAATAAATGTTTAACTTAAATCATATTGGCTCTTGGAGTGAAAATCCCTGTTTGCACTCACTGGACTTGGGGGTTGGGATGAGTTTCTCTTTCTTTCTAAGTTCTACTTTATCTCTAAACAAAAAAATTAATACTACTAACTACTTTTTGGATTATGCTGACATTAAATGATGTTTGTAAAAGGTTTAGTAAGATTCCTATGTAGTAACAAGTGCCTATTGAATATAAACGATCTACTTAACATCTTGACCTAATAATTATTTCAACAAATCTTGACCTTGACTCTGTATCTCTTTCCTTCATACTCCTCATGTCAGTCCCGATTTGACATGGTAGGCTAATCTCAGTTAAAATCCCATCACATGATTTGCCCAGCCCTTTTATATTTTGCTCTTTTTAATCATTCTCTTCAGATAAAGGTTAGACTTCACTATCAAAGAAAGAACAGGGTGGAGAAGAATGTGAGCCAAAAAGCTGGCTTAGAGTTGAGGTTAGAAATATAAATACATGTAATACCATGGTAGAGTTTGTTCTAATTAAATGAACTCAGCTGCCTTTCATCCAGTTACTAGTCATCTCCATTAATCCTTAAGCTAATAGTTAGAGACAGCAAACTAAGTGAATGACAAACAGAAGAAGCTGGATTTCAAAAGCAATGCAGGAGCCCGCAGTGATCGTGGTCACTGGTTGATTGATTCGGAGACTCAGCCCACAGGAATTCAATGGGAAGGATTAGGGAACTGAAAGGCACAGGGCTTAGCATTTATGCCCACTGTGCAGTCATCCACATTCATGTAACCACAAACGTCAGAGCAGGAAAAGAACTTTGTGTTCTTCTAGCTCAATAACTTCATTTTACAAAGGCACGAATGGAGAAATCAAGAGGCACTTGAAAGGTTGCTAAATATGAGTGGTGGAGTGTTGGTTAATTCCCTATGTCTTTTAACCCTCGGGTCTGAACTACTGCCATTGTACCATGTGATATTTATTGCAGGCATTTATCTGAGTTTTGACTGAATATACA